GGAAATAAGAAGAAAATTTACTCAATCTGTTGAAAGCCAGTAATAATGAACATAAAACATATAACCATTCTGGTAAGAATAGAGTTTCAGCAGAGAAGACTGGCAAATACACACTGTTAATGAAAATCATTAATTCTGTTACTAATTCAAGGTAAAGAAATGGTGCTGCACACAGAGAAAATATTTCAATGTTTTGTCAAACAGTACACTGCTTTGTATTTCACTGTTTTATTGGATATTCCACTTTGAAGGAAGGGAAGAATATATATGAATATCTCTGCATTCCTGATGATAATTTGGGGTGACTGAAGACACTATCCTGAGGTCACACCAACCACGAGGAAATGAAGAAGAGACTTATGCAGCACTGGGGACCTGCCATGTATTTCCTCTGTTCTTTGTCTCATTTAATCTATTTTACAATTCAGCACAACTGCAGGCTTCTTTCCTTAGCAACTAACCATAGATGAGTTTGACCCAAATGATCTCAGAACCTAAAATGTCATTTTGTTTTCATCACAAGGGTTAAAATCTCCTCCGAGCATGTGTTAGGAATGTCTAACCCCCAGTCAGGAGTGATTGCCTTAGGATGTTTTAATTTGGATGTTGGTAAGAATTTCAAAAACCATTAACTACAATGTAATTTCTGAGAGCAATAATTTCTGAGAGTAATCCACGTTGGTAGGGATATCTGTTTGACATTTGGTTAAATTTTAAAGCTTTGGAGGACACGATGTGCACAAGAGGGATAGGACATTTTCCCAATAGTTTGAGAAATGTCTCACTTAGCATCCTCTGTGGACCTGGTGCTTTTATGCCATGTTCCAAAAGAAATTAGATAACGATTTCGTGATTGATAGCAACTCAAGAAAACTAGTAAGTCACTTAGGATTGCTTCTACAAAATAATAGGAACATTTTCTTGAACATTCCAGACATTTTGACCTTGAAGAAGAGACTGCAAGAAACTTTAGAGTAACAACAATGTTAAAATAAAATTTGTATATGTAGGTATTCCGAAAAGAACACATAAGGAATCTTTCAAATATATCACAATTTGGTATAAAACTGTTCTAAAGCTTCATTTACATTTATATCTCCAGATATTAACTGATTAGGGTTTAATAAAATATATTAATAAAAAAATACATTTGTTACAGAATCATATATACAGTAATTAGCAAGAGATTAATAATAAAGGGAATTTAAATGACAGAAACATCTTCTTTTCTAAAGAGCTGCTGCTCAGAATTGGGCTCTTTACTTAAAAAATGCCAGTAAAATTGTTAAATTCAGAAGCCTCAATTAAGGATACAATTTGATCTCTGAATCAAGAGCCCCAAACCAGCCCCCACATCATTATCCATAAAAATGTTAATCTTATTTTCACGCAAACACTAACAAGGGCTCCGATGCTAACAATATGCAGTGGGCAGATTATATGTTTTCAACAGGTAAAATGCTAAAAAATCGTCACAATTCTAGAGCTTGTTCTTGCATGAAGTCAGAAAAAATAAATAATAAGGGGAGAGATGTCAGTTTCCTTTGCTTTGGAGACTCTGAATATGTTCTGACACAACAAAAGTTAGTCATCTACAGGAGGGACCGGTCCCTGCATTGACGGAGAGTCTGTCACCAACAGAGCGGATGGACTCTGTGCATCCATGACTTCAGTAAGGCAGCTGCGAGTCCACCCCCAACACAGTGACTTGCAAGAACTGCACCCTGATTCATCGCAAAATATCTGGTGCATTTTTACTTTTCTAAAGAAACTTGCCTTTGGCAATCCCTCTATGTGGATATTTCAAGAGTCTATCAGCTCTTGTGTGCTACTTTTGGAGTCTAAAATATTTAGTCTTATTCCAGAAGGCATTATGACTCAGGAACAATGTTAGCCTTAATCCAATTAATCCGAGACATGGCTTGAATATTTACAATGTTAAAATACTCTGTAAGGACTAAAACATTTTATGGAACAGGTGTACCTTCATTACTGTTAAGGCCACCAAGTGGAAGGATTTTTCCGTGATTTCTTCAAAAGAGAAACATAAAATGCTACCTATTATTAAAACTTAATTCCCGTATTGTAAAAAGCCTGCTCTTTGACATAACATTTTCGATATTTAAATTTTTTTTTTTTTGTATTGGGGATTGAACTCGGGTCCTTGCACTTGCAAGGCAGGCCACCAAACCACTGAGCTAAATCCCAGATAAAAAATGTTTAAAAATTTGAGAGTACGGGGTCGGGAGTGCAGCTTAGTAGTAAAGCACCTGCCTAGTAGAATTCACGGCCCTGGGTTCCATTCTTAGCCCCAGAACGTACAATGTTTTTAGAATATATGTCATTTCAACTCCTACAGTGAGGACCAAACTTAACGTGTTACATGGGTCCAAACCTAGAACTTGAATTATTCTCTGAAACAATCATTTGGTCATTCATTCTACAAATCCCCATGGAGTGCCTGCCACGTATCAGAGGTTGATAGAGGCACTGGGCTTGCACTGGGTTGGGTCCTGACGGAGAGCTGAGCAAGGCACACAAGACAGTGTAGTGGTAAATCTGCAGAAGCCTGCAGCTTAGAACAGAAACATGATTTCCCATGCAGTGTGCGAAGGCCACGGCGAGAGAACTTCAGAGGACTCCACAGTGTGGTAGCCTCTCCTCCCCCATCGCCTTCCTTTACACAAGTTCTGTTCCCTGCAGTCACCCTCAGTTCAAAAGTAGAAAATGGAATATTCAGAAAACATTGTGTGAATCTGAACTGATGTTTGGGTCTAAGCAGCTGAGAAGTTGTGTGGTGGCCTGTCCCGCTCTTTGTGACATCCCCCAGCCTAGCTGACTGTGGTGACAGGAAAGAGCTTGTGTTTAAGGAACCCTTATTTTATTCAATAAAGGAATCCACAATGGCAAAGAAGAAAGTGGTGAAGGTGGCACTGGGCCATAGAACACCGACAGGCACATTAACTCTGCTGCTGACTGGCCATGCTGCAGGGTGTGTTGGCAGAGAGTACAGTGGTGCCTCCATTCATGAATTTAATTTGTTCCACAATTTGGGGGAAGATGGCTGCAGTTGTGTCTGTCACCCAACATGGACCTGGATTTTGGGAACAGAAGCAAAGTTCTGTAGGAGGGTTTTATTTGAGAACCAAATCATTTGTGCCCAGAAGCATTCATGAACTGAAGCATTACTGTACATGCAGGGTTTGGTATGGTCTGGGGGTAGGGGGGTATATTGGGGCCTTGGAGTACACCCCAAAGGATAAAGGTGAGACTGCTGTATGAGGGAAAGGGCTTACATCAGATCGAGGCAGGCCACTGGCAGCCAGGACTCGCCAGGGAAAGGCACTTTCACACAGCAGCTGCAGGGCCGTGCTCTTCTGTTCTCTTCCTCCAAGAAGAGATTATTCAAAGATTTGAAACAAGAGAGCAAGAAAATACCACTTGCATTTTAGAACACACACGCACGCATGCACACACACACAAATGAAACAGGATTTTTGTTTGCAAGAGTAACACCAGAAACTGGAAAAATTTGGGGGAAAAACCAAGCGAAAGAGGATGACATCACTGTAGTGGCAGTGATGGCGCAAAGTGACCTGATTTCAGGGTTCTTGCTTCTTTTTTGGGCTCTGAAATCGCCAATCCTAGCTACATTGGTCCACCTGAGCTTGTGCAGTCAGGGAGAGATGCTAGCAGGAGCAGAACAGGAAGAGGCAGAAAGGCCCAGAAAGGGTACTGGGGAACAGCAGCCAGGAGGAAAACAGACGTGGTCTTGTTTTAGCCAAATAGGTATTTTTTTTTAAGCTAATGTCTTAGGAGCACAAGTAGTACTGTTGGTGGCTCACATGTCATTGTTACCCTATGTGTCCTGGGACACAGTCTGGGTCCAGCACTTGCTGAACAAATGACTTAACTTAGTAAGCACAGCTGCACACAAGAAAAGGACAGGAAGCTGGGTGCTGGGATGATGGACAATAAACCTACTTCCTACCTTCAGAGAAAGACTTGCATAGTTATCTCAATGTGTAGTGGCTAACAAAAGGGCTCGATAGAGCTCAAGAAGAATAAAGATCCAGGGAGAATAAAGAGAGTGAAGAAAAAAGTGATTATTTCTAAGTGTGATAAGAGGAAGGGTAAGTAAAAAGACTGAAAAGTGATCAGTGAAAATTTCGGGTGGCCAAGTAAGAACTGTTTCAGAATCAGGAAATATAGCTTGATTGGGAGTAGCCACTTTATGTGCTCATGACTTGCAGGCCTTCTATAAATTGTCACAGGGCGACTCATGGATATGACAATCAATGGATATGAAAATCAATGAGCGGGACTCATGTCTGTCAAAGAAAGTGACCTCACAGAATTGAGCCTTTTGTTTTCACCACAGAAAACATTAACAACTGTGGGCATACGTAAAGGGCTCCACAAATAACGACATTACAGGCAGACTGCTTTTAAAAGCATTTACCGGAACCTTACTTCATTTAAAAATTATAAATAGACACTGCAGAATCTGTGCTTTCCTTCTATAAGCAACTCTCCTAAGACAGCATAGAAACATTGCTCCATTGCTTAGCAACCACAGGTAAGAGCTAATAAGTCAGGAGTCATGAAGCTATGAGACTACCTGCAGGTCAGGGGCAGGATTTCAATAGCCTCTGGATTCCTGCTCTCACACTTTTAAAACCAATATTAACACAAAGCATCAGAACAGATGAAAGTTAAAATGCAAATGCTCTCACAGTTAATCAGTTAATCTATATATGGTGTGATCTGGTACAATCTGCTACATTAGCCGGCCAGTTGCATCTCTAAATTAACATCAGAGTAAAAACAGACCAGGGATGCAGCTTCAGAGCAATTTCTGCTTTAGCCACTGAAGTACGCCAAAGACAAAGGTACATTTAAAGTCAGTGCATGTCACGACTCAGACTTCCACGGAAGCAACAGGTGATTCTGGAAGGAAGAGGACCACTGGGTGGTGAAAGGGTATTGGAAAATTTTACCTGCAGCCATTGCGACTGGTCATTGTGGCCAGAGGTCCAGGCATTCACCTTGCCTTGCTTGTCCAGCCGGGCCTTCCTGGGTTCCCAGGTGAACATATCCATGTTGAGCGTCCTGAAGACGCTGGAGGCGGTGATCTGATAGTCTTGTATGTGTCCTGACTTCATTCCCAGGGGCTCTGAGCAGCCTGAAAGGAAATGAAAACAGCTCCATGAGAAAAGTAATTTGTCATCTGGAAATTTCCTATGTTCATTTAGGACAGGCAACAGAAGATGAAACCTAAGGCTCTCCATCCCCCCAAAGACGGAGCATCTAAATTCCAAAGAAAGGGCTGCAATCAGAAAGAAATCCAGAACAAAACAGAAAAACAAAACAAAACAAAACAAGATACCCAATTCAGGCTGCTTTGTCTGATTCTGTTTTGGGAAAAAAAAAATGAAAACAAGACAATTCAAACTACTTTTCTGTGATAGATGGTTTTGCAAAATGAAAACCGTACTGAAAAGCTCCTATCTCATTACGGGAAGCCTCATGGCTGGCTGTTCCTTGGTTTTCAACAGTTTCGCTGTCTTTTAAAAATTGGACATTTTCTCATAAAGCCTATTTGGATTTTAAAATTTATTTTCATAATACTGCAAATAAAACTTCCTGCAGCATAAAGCCATCTTCACGAATTGCTCCTCTGTTATATTCTAAACTGGACAGCATGTTGTTGTCTAAGTAATATGTGTTAATCTTTATCTCCCACTCTGACTGCACCAACATGGCTGCGTGGGGAAGCAGGGAAATAAAATTCCCTCAGCGGAGAGCACGCGGCAGGCCATGTGCACATTCCAAATGCAAGCTAGTGGGCAACAGGGGAAGAGCAAATTCTGGCAAAAGCCATCACTAGACAAATCCTTTAATGCAATTTTTTAATTTTAATCATACACAGTATCCCTTTGTGCTTGAATATTCTTGAAAGATTCCCAAATCTACCACATATATTTTCAAGCTTGATGTGGAGCAGAATTTGAGTTTGCATGTGAGCGAACATGGGTGAGTGTGTGTGCGTGTGTGTGTGTGCGTGTGTGTGTGTGCACGTTCGTACACATGCATCACGGATATATCCCCAATTCCATTTACAAACCGTGTAGTGGGAAGCCTGGTTCTACTATGATGCTAACCAAGGACTGAGTCTTCCTTACAATCGTTACATTCTGGCCAAGAAGCTCACAAGGTAAGAAGGTAAATTCGCCCATGAAAGAAGCAGAGATTAAAGAGTGGCTTTCTGCACTTTAGTGCTTCTTGAATTCTACTGGGTCCCCTCGAACAGGCTGTGTGGTCTTAAACCTGTTACTTTTTCCCCGAGTCTTCTCCTCTCTGAAATGGTGATGACAGGACAAATTACCTCCAAGAAATGTTCTAAGAAATTACTTCTTTTGTAAAACTGAAGGGAATCAAGAGAAGAAGGGATGAGGGCCGGGATTTAGCTCACAAGCGCACCCCCCAAAAAAGATATTAAAAAAGGGATGAAGGGATGGGTGGAGGGAAGGGATGGGAAGGGGATCAAGAAATCATCAAGGTATGTGATGGACATGAATCAACTCCCCACGATGAATGTAATCATCATGTGCTATACACTGGACTAATAAGAGATACTGCCCAACACTACTGAAAAAACTAAGGGAGACGCCAATAAATGGAAAGATATCCTGTGTTAAAAATTACTTCATAAAGCACTTTAAAACATTACTGGCACAGTTAGCATCCAGGAAGTTCTAGGCAGCTTTCTTATTTCATAAAACTGACCACAACAGGAAGCACTGGGAAAGTCCCTGACGGTGAGTTGTATCAGCGCGCACCCACAAGTATCCTATGATGGGCGATAGCTGCTAAAAGGGGACCCGTTTGGGTCGAGGTTGTAAGAGAGGCTGTTTAGAATTCTTCACTTCTAAGAATTCTATATTCTGTAGCTCATTGCTGCTGTTCCGGTCCATCATTTCCTCCGTCTTGAGGCGCGTCTGTGCTTGTCTTCACTTTCTCCCCGCGGGAGCCTTATCCTGGGCAATCGTGACAGAAGATGTCAGGGAGGGGTTCTCTCTTCTCACACATCTTCCTGGGAAGGCAGCCCTGCTGAACCGCTGACAAAGCTGCCCTCAGGGCTCACTGTAAAGTCCAAGTGAGAAAGGAGCCATCCCTACCCCAAGGGCTGCAGGCTGTGCTAACCTGGCCGTGGTCTGCTGCTTCTGGTTGGGCAGTTGCAAGGTAACAGCTCTGTCTGCCCAAGAGGGCTCAGTCTTCTTCCCTCCAGGCCCACCCCCCTGCCCTCTCCTCACTGTCCCCCAAGTCCTTCTATAGCTTTGCCATTCTTTCCCTTGTGTAACATAATACAATGAGGGACAGATGTCTGGACCATTTCTGAATTATCATAAAGTTAATTTCATACCATTCTATTGTTCAGTGCTTAGCTAGGAAGAAATATCAATAATTGTTTGTTCAAATAATGAATGAATGCGTTTTACTGTTCTAATTATGGGTTTGTTCTGTTTCACTGAAAACATCCTAAGTTGTGCCTCTTTCAGAGAATTCAAAAATGCTCTTTCTGAGTGTCTGGGAAGAGCCTAACGGCTGATCTTCTTTCTAGGCAGGCTAAAACGTCTTGTGTCAATTCCTTGAAAACAATACCGAATCTTGGATTTTAAAATGTTTTACTCAGGAAGTAGTTTGGAACATTTTCACTATTTTCAGGGCTACAGCTAACTTCTCTTTCCTGTGCCTCATAAATTTCCCTTCTCATCCACATTATTTCACAAATTTAAATTAATTAACTCTTTCACCAGTGTGTACAGCACCTGGACAAAATGAAGTATCGAGACCGAAATTGATCATTTCTACAGTGAAATGCTCCAGCTTCTAAAAACAACCATAGAGAAATATTCTCTGCATGTAAGTTGAAAATCAATTTGCAGGGTTGGGAGATGGAGCACTGCTTCTTTTCAGGAAGATAAAATCTGTAAATTGTCGGGTGTAACCTCTTGTCAAACTTGAGAGGAAAATATATTTACACCGAAGGGGTGTAGCTGAGCCACGGAGGAGAGACTGATGCTCATGAATCAAAGGACTGAGAAGTCAGGGACAGTGAGGTAAAGCAACTCAAACCACAGTACTTACAGCAGATCTTGCCACAGAGCCGCTTCCCTGTGATTGCTTTATGACAAATAGTTGGGAGGACGGTGGCCCGTGAGGATACAGTGACACGCAGTGCAATTGCTGCACACAGATAATTCTGCTCAGATCTGCCCATGAGCAATAAACTGGTTCGTGTGACCAAAATAGGGCCCAGCTCTCCATCTGCATAATGAATGCCGTGAACGCTGTGTGCATATTTTCTGAGACCTTCTGATGTAGAATGAACATTTGATTCTTAAAAACACTCACCAATCTGACCAAATCACTTTAATTTCTTTAAGTGGGTTCACTAAGATTGATTATTTTTAATACTGCTTCTTATTTACTTAAATGTCATTCTTTTCCTAAGTATCACAAATAAGTTGAAGGAGGAAATCAGATTCAGGGTACAGAGCTTCACCCATGAATCCTAAACTCCTGGATATCTCTTTGCAGGGACCTCATCTATTTAAAAGGTGTTGTTTCTATGCTTAGTAAAGGTTTTTCCATATTTTAAGGTTATGCTTAAAAAAAAGTGTGTGCACATGAAATTTGTTTCCTCCATAGTTGTTTGAATAAAATAATCTTGGGCCTCTGTGCCAATGATAGGTAAAATTTGATGCCAGGAAAATCAGAAGTGCCAAAAATATAAGTCAGTGTGAGGCACCTAGAGAGAATTTTCTATTTAGTTCAGAATGAAACGGGACCGCTGTGAGATTCACTCATTGCGTCTTCATCCTTGTACCTGGCATTGATGCTCCTGGAGGAGAAGAATTATTTAACTTGGAGTCCTCTGATAGATTATCCTTGAGCTGGGTAACTACTATTTGTACAACAAGCAGGTCTCTAACTAAGAAGGAGCCCGGAATGAATTATAGTAGCAATCTGAGTAGTGAAATATTGTTCCCTGGGGAGGGATGAGGAATAAGCATGTCTAAAAAGTCCAAAAAGTATCCAGTTCTTATAGGAGAGAGATGAAGATACAGCTTGCTTTTCTGGATCAGACAGCCTAAATGCGGGGATCAGGTCAGGCAGATTCCAGTTTTTACTGAATGTTTGTCAAGCACACGATAAATCACAGGTGCTACTGCATACCGGGAGACACACCTAATGTCGACAAGCTTCTCATGGGAATTCCTTCACCTGGGGTTGACCACCCAGTGAAATACGGTACTCCTTCTAAATTGATCTATTCTGCAGCACGCTTTACTACTTGTTTGCTCTGCGCATAAGCAGCAGCACACTATTTCTCACCCAGCCGTGCCCTAGACATTCTGCAGCAGAAAAGAATTTCTACTGGTGTTGGGAAAGCTGCAGGCTCAGAGCGAAGGACACACACAAGCACGCTTCGTGCTCCCTTTACAATCCGTGCAGAGATGGAAAACAGGAGGCTCACCTGCTAGCTCACAGCCGAGCAGTTCCATGCGCAGAGTGCAGTGCCTCCGGCACACCTGGGGATAGAGCCTCACATACTGAGCTTTGATGGGTGGCGTGAACGAGTTAGCATAGGGCGTGTTGTTATCGACATTTCCTCGGAACACCTGGGTGGAGACACGATCCGGAATTCTGCGTTAGACTTAGAGTAGCGTCTTCACGCGCACACTAACTCTACACCGTGCCATAGCACTTGAAACGTGACGTGAAACCAGGGGGCCCGGAGTATTTAGGAAGTACTTTGCTATCACCGGTGGACAGGAAACCCACAGATGAAAATCCTACTTACAGCTACAAGCACCGTGGCCTGTGGCATAACCCACACTTCCCTATGACTGCCGGAGCAATTCTGCGGCCAATCTCCAAGGGAATACTTTTCTGTTATTTAGAGAAAGGGGGACCTTAAATCTGCCAACTTACTCTACATCAGTCTCTTTAATTTGCAACTCAATACTTCCACTTTTGTTCTGGTATAAAAAAGTTTTTTTCACTACTGCTTCCTGGACACTCTATTTTTGTAATAATATGGTAAAATTTACAATGCCTTGGGGTCTGTCAACATCTGATCTTCACCATCAGACCTAAAGGACTAGATGAGAGACTTATAATCCTTATATTTATATCCAGTGAAACTTATGTTTTCTTTGAAAAACCAAGTACTGAAATGTGTCAATTTTAATTCCTTTAAATTTCATTCTTATTTTACCTTTTATGTAACTTAGTAAATGGAGAATCTTATTTAAATGTACTTGAAAATCTTTCATGACATTTCTTATATTTAGTTTTGCATGGGATAATTTGTAAGCATGTTTTTTAAATTAACATTTATTAGGAAGACTTAATTGTAAAATTCTGAATACATAAGGGGAAGGAGATACTGCATATTATACCCATTTCCTCTAAAGTATATTTTCTGATAAATGACTTTTCCCATATGAGGTGTATAAACACATACAAATTTCTATCACTTGGTGCTTTTCTAGTTTTGAGAAAAATACTTTTAAGCAGTAGTTATTCTATGAATCAGAGTACTAAGTGTTCGTTAGCAATGAGGATGCAACTGCCTGCTGTTAATGTGAAGTCCAGCTGTTGCTCGTGAAGACTCTGCTATTTTGCCTTTGGTACTGGGGATCAAACCTAGGCCTTGTGCTCACGACACAGGTGGCGGCACCACTGAGCTAAATCCCCGGCCCAAGACTGCTGTTTTATGACAGAGTATTTGTAGGGATGTCAATTAAAGTCCTAGAAAATCTTAAATGGCTGCTGTTATTCATTTTCCCCTACTTCATTCATCCCAGGAGCCCAAATCTAAAAGAAGGATGAAGCCACAGTGATGTGTTTTCCACCCTAGGCTTTCCCAGCGGGCTGGGCTGTCCTGTGCTAGTCTGGCTCCATCAGTGAGGCTGTTCTTTTCCCTACAGCGGTGGGGTGGTCAGCCTCACCCTGTCTTCCTTGGTTCCTTTCATTTTGTACACGGTCCACGTCTTCCCGTCGTTGCTGTGGGCGATTTTGTAGGACTTGATATATTCCGGGCTCCCGATCCTCTTGGCTCCTTGAGTAATCAGTCCAGTCACTCTCATCTTCCTTTGTAGATTTATCTGGAGAGACAAAACACGATCAACAACAATCATTCCAGTGTACGACTATGGGCAGTGTCCATTTGGAGAATGGAACATTTTTATTTATCAGTATGGATTTCAGATAACACAAAGAGCTAATCGTTACTCTGCATTAGGCTTTCAAAACATTGTATCAGACAGGCACACATTAACTGCCAAATCTCCATGATGGAATACTTTTTGGAAATAAAAGCAATACTTGTAAGCAAGCTTTGAAAAGTGCACTGTGTCCTCTAGGGTAGAAGTACAGACCATATTTGGTTGGCTAAGCAGGTATACCTTTAAACTAAAAACCCTTAGTGCCCTAGTAAATGGGGCCATTCTCAATATAAAATCTCAGCGTCATTACTATGAAAGTTTAATGTTCATGTGATTGTTGGTGAGTCTCAACAGATTTTCCACTTCAAAAAAGCCAAACAAAACAAAACACGAAAATCACTCTAAGTTCTTTGAACACTGGAGTGAGAAGTAGGAAAGTCAAGAAGGACAAAACCGAAACATAGTGTCTTTGGTCCCTGCGTGTTTGTCCTTTGACCTCTGCCATGGTCTGTGAGGGACAACACTTTCCTTTTCACCTTTCTTGGCAGTGTATCCCTTGGGTACTAAGTGGGATCTCCTCTCTGTATTCAGTCCACTCCAAAGCAATTTGTGACAGTTCCCTACAGAAGTCCTAGACATGTGATAAAAATTTAAATATTTTCTCATATTTAGGAATCTCTTCCTGACACACATAATGATTAAAATAAAAGCTACAGTGCAAAACTGCTTTATCATAGAATAAACATCTAAATCTGTTTCGCTCACTGTAAGATGCCTTGATGATTTCCGCATGCAAACAGTACAAGGGCCCCCTTTCAATGTCCTGGCTAAGTTGCAGGAATGCATCCCTCTTCACCAATGGGAATCAGAAAGACCTTAATGTCTCATGTGCACCTCTACTTTAGTCATTCAGAGACATGTTTCAGAGAAAGCCAGACCCCGTTGGCTAGTAAGTGACGGGTTTCCCATTCCAGGATGGACTCTGGCGTCCACGTTTGAAATTGCAGAGGAAGTGCATGAGGAAACCCACCACTGGGTAGCAGGTTCGGAGGCTCAGAGTCTTCTTTTCCCTCTCAGCTGCTTGAGGTTTCTCCCCTACTGCTGCTCCTGGGTGGTTTTCAGTCTTACTTGTGTGCAAGGACAGCTTGGGATTTGATGAATGAGCTGCTGAGAAGGGTGGTTCCTGGCCTCCAGCAGCTAAGCACAGCACCCTCACTCTTACCCAGGAAGCACAGACCTTACCAACGACACTTCACTCTAAAATTCTGGGTTGATAGTCAACTTCTTCTCCAACAATGCAGGTAGACTCACTAAGATACTCGATGTCCATATTCTCACTTGGCGCTCAGACATTAGAACTCTCAGTGATAGGACTGCATTTGAAAATCTCGTTCTCTTTTGGGGGCTTAAAAACAGACTATCTGCCATGGATGTAAATCTTCCTTATTTAATATTTGTGTGTATTTGTCTTACTTGGCAACTCTAATGACTGATGGTGGAATCAGTGTGGAACAGGGAGCTTCTGAAAGACTTTATGCAGAGTGCTAGGTAAATTAGCACACTGCTGTGAAAAAAACATCTTTTAAGTAAGCCTATGTATGGCATTGTTTTTTGTTTGTTTGTTTTAAATCTGAGACTCTTCTTCTCAATACATACAAAATAAACAGGGGGCAGTTTGAATCACATTTTCTTCTGGTTCGGAGGCCAAATTCCACATTTCAGCACATTCCTTTTTCAATTATCTTTTATCTCATTTCAATTATCTTGTTTATACCTCTTGTAGGCAGACAAATTATCTTTGCTAGAATTTTGGCTGATGAGCTATACAGTGATTTTCTGAAGCTTAAAGTAAGCACCTATAGCAGAAAATAAAATCTGATTTTATGTTTTTTCTCTGAGTCATTAGAAATTATGTCTTAAGAGATTCATATTTGCTGTCATATGTAGAAGTTCAGAATGCATAGACTTCTGAGTGGTAAGCAGTTACCCAACTTGAGTTGCCTCTGCTTTTATTATATACTTTTAATTAAATATCACTGTTTTCATTAAATATAAAATAAAAGCAAACATGATTTACAGAATACAGATTCTTGGGTCACTAAGTTTTAGTAATTACTAGGGTTCAGAGCTTGGATTTCTCATGTATCCAGCCTGATTAAGCTTAGATAATAAGAGATTCACTATAAAAGGATTAAGATTTCACCTTTGAGATTATACACAAATTTAATGTCAGGAAACTAAGCTGCTATAAAAACTGACCTATGCCTTGGAGGAAGGCTACAGCAGTTGCAGAGACTAATTCCACAGTGAACACCAGAAAGTGTTCCCCAAGCACACAGTTCCAACATTATCTGGATCTCTTATAAAAACCCAGGTAACGGTGATCTTCGGTATCTTCTGCCTGTCTGAATCACACTAGTTAGTGTGTTAAGGGTCTCCTGGAAATTCCTAAATTACTCTGGGAGCTGGATGGGTGGATGAAATGACATGTCTTCATTTCAGTTTTGTATTCTAAAGAATTATTGTTCCACTAGGAGGTAGCTACATTCAAATTTTGGAAAACCAAAGCACACTGGAAGAATATTGGATGAACTGTGTTCTTGGGTGGCTATGGATACAAAGATTCCTGCCTCAGCCTCCCGAGTGCTGGGATTACAGGCGTGCACTGCCACCCCAGGCTTGTAACAAGAAGTTTTAACAGCATGATTATATGTGAAAATTATGTGATACATATATGAAAAAATTTTAACACTTATCCGCCTTCTAGAAAATCCTTATACTGATTAATTTTCCAGGTTTTGCTTGTTTTTAAGTAATAAGGAACACTTTTCCTCTTTTTTTGTGTACTTAGGCACTTAATATTAAGGAGTTTGGATTTGGAGAGGTGCATTTATAAAGGGTGATTATCATAATAACCATATGAAGACAACTTTGTAAACAACTTCCAGAGCTATATGCTAATAAGGCATTTAGAGCTTCAGTAATTAAGTGTGCGTGTATAAATCCAACCATTAGCTTCAGAATGCAGAGGAGAAGAGAGAATTAATGGGTCCTTGAGAAGGTAGTGAGCAGCATGGGCCCCTGGCCCTGTCACCTGAATCCAGCCCTGAGCTGCTCCACTGCAAGAAGCTGCCACGAAGGCTCTGAGATTTATTCAACTCTAGCACACACACAAAGAACAACAAAGAACAACAGCGATGATCATGATGATGATGATGATGATGATGATGATGATGATGATGATGAACTACAGCAAACCCCCAACGTGAGGGGGATGTTCAGGTCCTGTGTAAGTCTGCGACTCTGGGTAGTGCAGCAGAGCTCTCCGAGGGTTCATGTCTCCTGCCCTGGCATTTCTCATTCTCACTTCTCTTGTCCTGGCCCAGGGCAAGCCCTGGAAGCAGTGGAAGAAGGACAGAGAGTCCAGGCCGCGATGCGAGGCTACAGTCACGAGCAGATCGAAAGCCCCACCTCCCTCGGTGCAGCACTCAGGAAGTGGAGCCCTGCAGGAGGCTCGGCTAAGAGCAGTGTCTTGCAGGGAGGAGGGAAGGTGGGGCTCAGCTCAGATTTGAGTCCTGCAGCAGGTGCGGCAGCTCGAGCTGGGGCTTGACTTTCATCCTTGGCTCCAGATGCACCGCTAGGCACAGCAGGTTTCCCGAGAAACTGAAATATCGCCGTCAAAAGAAAAGAAAGCTGGGGACTAATACTAAACAAACAAACAAAAACTAATCTAATAGAACTAGCATGTTAAGACTGATAAAGAAACTAGAAAAATATGGAAATAAAAAAGAAAAAACAAAATAGGAACAAGTACATAAGTAAGAAGCTGGAGGTACTGGTACGGAATGTGTAGTTGTGTGAATACAGTTCACAGTGGGGTGGTTTTAACTGCAAAGAGACAGAGCTTCAGAATAAACCAGTGAGCAACAAGACAGCTCTGTAACGCTTTCCAGAAGGCAAGACGGTGGGGTAGAGATGGCCCACGCTGGTAGACGGGTTCACCGTCCACAGTGACAATTACAGAGAAGCACAAAATGGTGAAAACTAATTAAAAAGTTTTCTGCAGCTTTGCTTAATATACGGTCAACCTAAAATTAATGTATGCCAGCAATTATCAACTAACAAATCATACAAATAATTAAAACAGTGTGAAAAGGGAACATGTAGAGACAGATAAATAGAACAGCATAGGACACCACCCAACAGCTTCTGATATGTAAATAATTTTGCATATTAAATAAATGATATTTAAGTCAGGAGAGAAGAGAAATAACTGAGTTAATTTGTTAGAAATATTAAATTTAGATCAGTATCTGTCTCATCTCACATTATATTCCCAATAAATTTAACACTTAAATGATTAAAAAAAAGAAGCTGTACATCATTAGAGAATTAAAAATAATGTCAGAGATGGAAATGGCTTTCATTTTTTGTTTGTTTGTTTTTTTTGAGACAGGGTCTCACTATGTAGTTGAGACTGACCTGGAACTCACTATGTAGCCCAGGCCGATCTCGAACTCACCCCTGTGAGTCCTCCTGCCTCAGCCTCCCGAGTGCTGGGATTACAGGCCTGTACCACCATGCCCAGCTGGAAATGGCTATTTACAACATAAATTTTAAAAGTACTATTGCAATGAACAAAAAAATTTCAACATAAAAAACAAAATGAAGTCAAAATATAAATAAGAAATGGTGAAATTCATCTTTTACAAAGCTTATCACAACAAAGTACTGATTAGCCAAAGAAGGATCTTCTACTTTGATAGGTAAAATACAAATACCCAATAAAAATGGGCAGTGGATTTTGTTAGTTGGTATGAAATGAAGTACATATGTCTTTAAACATATGAAAAGATCCTCTATCTCATGTATAGCAATAATAAAATTAAAAGTGCCCAGTTATCAGAATTCATTTATCAGGAACAAAAAATCAAAAAGTT